CAGGGAGCCCGATGCGGGGCTTGATCCCAGGACCCTGGGATCATGACCTGAGCCGAAGGCAGATGCTTAACGACTGAGCCACCCAGGCGCCCCTATAGTTAAGTCTTAATAAATACTTGGGATTGTGGTAGTCTATCCCTTAATTCTTGCAGTGTATGAGAGGGCGATCTTGCTTTCCAGTTTCAGTTGACCAAATATATGTAGCTTTCCTTTCTTCTTGCAGAAAATCTCTAGTAGTGGGGCGCCTGGGTGACTCAGTTAAACGTCTGCCTTTGGCTGAGGTCATGATCCCGAGGTCCTGGGATCGAGCCCTACATTGGGCTCCCTGCTCGGCGGGGAGCCTGCTTCTCCCTTTCCCACTCCCCCTGCTTGTGTTCCCTCTCTCTCTGTTTCTCTCTTTCTCAAATAAATAAATAAAATCTTTAAAAAAAAACCTCTAGTAGTAATCAACGAGAAAACTCATTTCTCAGAGACCGGAAGGGGTAGACTGGGGCTTGAAACTAGACCTTCTGATTCCAGATCTTGAGTCCTTTCTGTGAATGTGCTGATTGCTTCCCAAGTCAGCTGATAAAGTACTCCAAGGGTTCGGGTGCTTGGGTGGCTCAGTTGGTTAAGCATCTGCCTTTGCCTCAGGTCATGATCCCAGGGTGCTGGGATTGAGTTCCACATCTGGCTCCCTGCTCAGCGAGGAGTCTGCTTCTCCCTCTACTGTTCCCCCCTGCTCGTGTGCACGTGCGCGCTCTCTCTCTCTCTAATAAATAAATAAAATCTTTTTTTCTAAAGATCTTCCTAATTTGTCATCAACAGCCGTCTATGAGCCCATCACTCAACTTAAGAACTAAACTGTTACCAGTGCTATTGAAGTTCCCTTGTACTCCTCATGTTTTCTGTAGAGCAGGGTTTTACTACATGCTGCCTTGCCTGCCGTTCTTCTCCCTTCCTCTTTGGAAAAGACTGTTGGTGAGGGGATTTCCCCCCCACATCGCCCTCCAAGATGGCTGAGGTAATGGCAGATTGCCATCTGGCCATGTTCCGCTCATTTGACTCTATTCCGGGGTTTGCGGAGGAAGATCTTGATGCTGATAGAATCTCTGTCTCTGCAGGTCAGGCTGGGAAGCTGATGTATGTGATGCACAACTCAGAGTACCCTCTGAGCTGCTTCGCTCTCTTTGAGAACGGCCCTTGGCTTATTGCCGACACCAACTTCGATGTGCTCATGGTGAAGCTCAAGGGCTTTTTCCAGAGTGCCAAGGCCAGCAAGATTGAGACCCGGGGTACCCGTTACCAGTACTGTGACTTCCTAGTGAAGGTGGGCACAGTCACCATGGGGCCCAGTGCCCGAGGCATCTCTGTAGAGGTAAGACCTTGGGGAAACAGGAGCAGTATGTGCTGAAGGGCTGCTCAGCAGAGGGCTCTGCAGATTTTCTCACCCCTCTGAATGCAAACAGGTGTTTATGCCTTCCTCATCCCTGTCTCCAGGGCATGTGTGCTCCCTTGTCCCTGCATCTTTTACCCTTTCTTTAATCATTCAGGTTCTGGCCCAGGGTGGGAATGGGAAGCTGGGGTCACAACAGGTAGAAAGCTTAAGAAGGCTGACTTGCTGGAGAAGGGAAGGGATAGTCAAGGGAGGAAGGTAATTGTGATGTGGAGGGACTGGTCACCCATCACAAGGACTGGAGCAGACCAGGGCAACTTTTTGTGCAGGTAACTTTTGGGAGGTGGGCCCTAAATAGTGTGTCTACATCCCTTTCCCTAGTACACCTTAAGATAGGTCTCAGAGATTGTATAGCAAGATGAGCCTTTCCTTTTGACATGCTGTCGACTTCTTTCGTGGTGGAAAGAGGTGTGTGTGGTGACTTCATCTCTGAGGTATATATTGGAAACCACAAAGAGGGAGTGTGGCAGTAGCTGGCTTTGGGACCAGTGAAATTCCTCAATCTACCATGTGCCCAGCACTGTGTGAGATTTAAAAAAAAAAAATAGGTGACCTACAGGGCCTGCCTTTTGAACACGTAGGATTTAGTAAGCGAGCGAAGCTGAAACACACAAACTGTTTTTGAAGTCAGTCCGTAAGACGTTCCGAGGCACATTGCTCTGGGGATTCAGGCCAGTGAGAGCACTGGTGACTTTGAGGATGGGGATGCTTTCTTCTGGAGTAGCATGTAAAGAGGGACTTAAAATGTAGAGATGTGGGGCGCCTGGGTGGCTCAGTTGTTAAGCGTCTGCCTTCGGCTCAGGTCATGATCCCA